GCATCAGCCGGCGCCGGCACGGTAGGCCACCCATTGTGCCCCCCCTCCCCTCTGCCCCTTTTCGCTCGCGAGAGCGCGATAAATGAGATGGGTTTGAATGGCTCTCTTTTGGTCGGACGGCAAAGTGGACTCGTAAACGGAATAGGCCGCCGGAGGCAGTTACTTCCCGCATTTCACACTTCGCTGTTTCCATTGCAGAGAAGCCTTCGGCCTGTGCTTGGCTGCTGATTAACCCAACTCAGTCTGTACCGTGTATCACGGCTACGACACAAAGTGTTGCGGGTTTGCCCTAGAGGAGCCATGGAGCCTCACGGATGGACCGAGTAGGCAAACCGGGCATACACCTATACTGTTGTGTCGTAGCCCTTACACGCGCTAGTGTAGTGTATTTCGACTAACGGAGGAAGAAGAATAGCGGGTATAGAACATAAACGTTACCGATTGGTTGAGAACTTCCCGCCTCTACGACACACCGGTACTGGGGGTAAGCGCTCGGCCAATCAGGAACCTTTATGTTCTACCCGCAATTCTTCTTCCTCCGTTAGTCGAAATACACTACTGTACTTCCCTGGCCCTGCCGGACACCGGCTCGGATAAAGGACCCCTCGCGAAAGATTCGCGAACCGTATGCTTTCTCTGGTAGGATCCAAGCGAGCACACCCCACGAAACGGCGAGCTACCACCACGGAACCTCAAGGCACCCCCGCGAAACCGCGATGACCCCCACCGCAAGGTGTCGACCGTGTAGACCTGAGTGCAATCCAGCCAGGGCAAGCCGTAAGAGGAAAAATGGGAATGGACGGCGCTACTGTAACGCATCGCCCTTGTCCTTCTCTCACGCCTCCCCGCTCAAGGCGCATAGAGGACGCGAGACGCTCACCGTGAGCCAGTGGGCGTCGACGGGCAGGCCGAACTGCCTGAAGACGGGCACCATGAAGGGCCGCAGGCCGGACAGGCCCGTCCAGTGGTGGATGACGAAGAAGGCGATGACGAGCATGAGCGGCCACAGCGTCTCCCTCTTGCGCAGCGCGCGCACGCCGTCCAGGTAGCGGCCGCCGGGCGCCACGTCCACCGTGGGGGCGCGCTCGGGCTGCGCGGCCGCCTGCTCGGCCCGCGGCTTCACGTCGTCCGCCACGAAGCCGCCGTTGCAGACGCCGTTGCCGTTGGGGCCGCCGCCGCCCGCCGCCGCACTCGCCTGCTCCGCCGCCCTCAAGGCCTTGCCGCCCGACATGGCCGTCATCTCCGCGTTGTACCTGCGGGAAGACTTTCATTGTAGCGAGTCGCCTCAAAGACGAGGTGGCGGCCGAGGCCAGGCTGGGGCCAGTAGGAAATCTCCAGCGTGCCGTACGGCTGTACGGCGGGGGGCTCTGCAGGCCCAGCTGAGCACCCGACGCGGACGCGCCGCGGTGACCCTCAGCCGCGGCCGAGTGGCCGATTGTCCAGGAGGCAAGGCCGGCCAGGCCGCCTGCTCCTCGTAAAGATGATTGACCAGCGCTCTCTGCGGTACTCACCGGACGAGGGCGGCCAGCTCGGTCTGCACGGCGGAGGCCGGCACCCAGCCGCGCAGCCAGCGCAGGGCGCGCTCCGCGTCGCGCAGCCGGCCCTTGGACACGAGCCACATGGGCGACTCGGGCACCTGCGAGATGGCGAGCACGGTGAGCAGCGGCACGGCCACGCTGCCCCAGGCCGCCGTGCGCCACGTGACCAGGGTGCCCAGCAGGTACTCGATGAAGAAGCCCAGCATGACGGAGATGCCGGCCATGGAGGTGAGCGCGCCGCGCAGCTTGGGCGTGGAGATCTCGCCCACGTACGTGATGATGGGCGCCTCCATGAAGCCCATGCCCAGCCCCATGAGCGCGGCGGCGGCGAACAGCGCGGCGTGCGAGCGCGCCGTGGACAGCAGCAGCCAGGACAGCAGGTGCGGCGCGTTGACCAGCAGCATGGCGCGCTTGCGCCCGAGCGGCTCCAGCAGCAGCCCGGACAGCACCGAGCCGAAGGGCTGGCAGATGAGCATCAGGCTGCCTGCGGCAAGGCGAGCGAGAGAAAGGGCGTCAATGTGGGGCCCGACCCGGCTGGCAGGTACCAATTATGAGCTGTGTGTAACTAGACAGTTTTCTTTGTCACGGCGGCTGTGTGGTATCCAGGGTTTTGGAAAATGTAGAAAAGCGTGACCACATTGTGGTCGCGCATCACTGGTTTTTAATTAGGGATCTTCTAGAAAGTACGTCCGGTTTTTTTTTCTCGGATTAATTCGGCAAATTGCGGGAGCTCCGCGCCTGCGAGACTCGGGGTAGGCCGCCCCGCAGTACACGCATGCACGGCAGCCACGATGTTGCCTACCTATCAGGCGCTAAGAGAGCCTGCATGAGATGAATTTGGCAGGTTCGTAACGGCGAATGAAGGACGTACTTTCTGGATGATCCCTTATACGTCACTGAGGCGTATTGTGTATTAGTTCGTGGGACTGTTGGTGGCTATCAACCACACTGTCACGAAGAACATTGAGGAGTGCGTCGACATGGCGCTATCTGCGAGCAGATTTGACCCATATTGTAACGGTTTGTTTGTACTCACTTCCGCAGTTAGACTGTACCGAGTTCGGCCGTGCGGGTGGGTTTGATTGCCGTGGGGGAAATCACTTGGGTTCGTAGCGTTCGTAATATTTTTGCCATTTCGGTTATTTCTCGCCTATTTCGGATTATATCAGGGTATTTCGCGGTATTTTGGGGGTATTTCGCGACTATTTCACCGACTACTTCGCGTCTATTTCGGGTCTATTTCGCTCTATTTCGCTATTGATTCGCCTCTATTTCGGACTATTTTGAGAGGTGTACGGACTATTTCGCAAGTGAAATCCCCCTCGCTCGCTACCGACTTGGAGACGGACAATGGCCCATGGTGGCGCCCCTGAGCGTTCGTCCGGAAAGTGCGTCTGTTGTTTCTCAGATTCATTCGTCAAATGGAAAATCATGGGTGACGGGGGTTCGGCGCCTGCAAGACCCGGGGTAGGCCACCCCGCGGTACACCCGTGCACTGAAGGTAAGATGTTGCCTACCCATCAGGCGCTATGGAAGCTTACACAGGCCGAACATGGCAGTTTCGTGACGGTGACTGTCGTACTTGCCGATGATCTCTTACGACCCGAGCGAGCGAGCACCAGTCTGCACCAATGCTGTTGTGAGTACTACATTACTGTTAAAGTTTCTCTGTGAGTCGAATTTTATATTTATGGTGATTTTTTCCTGGCTGCTGTTATTTCATTGGTGAGACTGATTTCAAGTACTTTTGCTATTGGCGTCCTGCGTTTTACTAGTCTTGTGATTTTGTGCATTTGCTATTTTTATAGTTTTAAAACTGCGTGTTTCGTTTTGATAATTGATGGAATGGTCGATATCGAACCTCGAGTCAGCTTCAAAATTGGCAAAGAAAAAGTCATCAACATCGTAAGTAATTCCTATGAAACAGTTGAGAGCATACTCACCGAACCACGATGCCTGCCACTCGTCAAAGGTGAGGCCGAACTCGTCTGGCTCCCTGGGGTGCTCCTTGGAGCCGAGCAAGGCGGCTATCACGACGGTGGGGAAGGCGAGGGTCATGCCGATGTCGAGGAGCAGCATGTTCTTGGCGCACGACGCGAGAACCTGCGGCAGCGCCTCCCGGAAGGGGTCGACGGCGCCCGGGTCCCGGCAGCAGCCGTTGGCGACGGCGGCCTCCGTCAGGTGCTCCTGCTTCTCCCTGGGCGGCGAGGCCGCATTGCTTGCGGGGCCCGTCATCCTGGAACACAACAGAGGGAGGGTCAGGAGGATCAGTTCCACGAAACGGGTGTAGAAAGCCCGAGGTTGCGTCGAGTGGCATACCTTTTCACCCAGTCCGCGGCGAGAGATCTGTGGACCTACTGTGTACTCTAGAGAGTGCACCAGCTGGTGCACTGTTTTGTACACACAAACTTTAGCAGTGCTAGAGTGCCGTTCGGTGTGGGAGCATGCCCTGGGGCAATTAAAACAATTCGCGCTCACGAATCTTCCCCTCGGGCCGCCCAAAGGGCAGCCGAAAGCCCGAGCCCGAACATGGCCGAATTGCACCTTTCCTATGACGCGCACCGCCGCCGGGGTGCAGCGAGGGGGCTTGTGGCGATATCAGATTCTTTCCTACCCGCACCTCAAAAACGAGGTTCTTAAACCTAGTAAATATCCTGGGAACAAGCCAATTTCCTAGACCTGTCCAGAATGTGCTACTGTTTTTCACAGATGCATTTGGCAAATGGTAAATCACGGATGAGGGGAGCTCGGCGCCTTCGAGACTCGGGGTAGGCCACTCCGCAGTACACCCATGCACTGCAGGTAAGATATTGCCTAACTACCAGGCGCTATGGGAGACCTGTGCTAGGAAATTGACTTATTGTTCCAACGATATTTACCTCATTCAAGAAACTCGTTTTTCGGGTGTGAACTCCCGGACTTGGGTGCTCAGGGAGGCCCACCATCTCCACTCCAGATGGCTGCTTGTCGGGTCGGCCTACAAGCGTCACCCTAGGGGCCTTTAGGGTGCGGATGCCCTAAGTGAGGCGCCACAGCCTCTCCCGAGCGTTTCGGTTGGAATACCCCGCGTCTGTATTTCGCGGTTCGAGTGTTTGCGGATGTTTGTTTATTACCACCCAAACGATTAAAGAAGGCGACTTTTGCACTGTACTGGTACTCAGTACTCATGTGCAGCACGACATGACTCGGGCGCTGCGACTGAGGATATTTGCTTTTGCTGTGTGTGGCCCGGTGAAGGGAAGGGGGGGGGGGTGACTCCGCCTCCGCGCTATATCGAGACTAAGTAGTCCGCGATCATCCTGTTAGGTGCCTGCTGGGGCCCAGGCCCAGGTCCAGGCCCGGGGAGCGGCCGGCCCGGGGGCGGGCTTGGAGACTATGGACATGTTCGCTTGTACCTCGAACTGGTTGGGGAGACCGGACGCCGCGGGCGCGCTACGGTCATCAGGCTGCGGGACTGCGGTGGACGGGACGACCTCTACTGGGAGATGTGTGAAAGGTCACCGAGGCGGCCGGGCGTCACCGGGCCGCGCTGCATGGTCCGAGAATACCTTGCTCCACTAGGTGTTGCGGCGGCTGCGCTTGGCTTGTCATGCAACATCTCCCGTGTACACCTCGATCCGGCTTAAACCACATTAAAACTAAGGCTGGAACGCCGGACACTGGGGCTCGATGCATCTGATCGGTTGGGCTGGCGCGTTTGGGTGCCGCGCTACCCGCTGCCACCGCACCACCCAATGGGGAGGTAATCATTCTGCCGCACTCCACTGACGACCGGCGCACAGGGCGGTGCACTGTGGCTGAGGTCATTTGGGCCAGGCGTGCCGCTGCTCGCGCTGACTGCATGGCAACGGGCGCGGAGTCCCTTGAGGGCGGGGCGCAGCGCGGCGCACGAACGATCGCAGTTACTTTTCGATTAGCACTGGATCCGAATCCGCATATCCAACACTGGCGTCCGCCGAGGCGTCCGCCTTCTTTTCTGCCGCCGCTTCACCCCGAGTCCGGTTCCCAGCCAGCCGCGAGATGGCGTGTCGCGGTCACACCTCTGTGGGATGCATTATATTCTATTCCGCGAAAGCCGCCCGACGTGCAAAGTGAAGTGAGTCTCTTCCTTATGATTTTTATGCTCCCTGCGCTTCTTCCTCGTCGCGCGTCGCACGGGGAGCACCAGGAAGCTCGCGTCGGCCGGGGGGACGAGCTTTGTCGTCTTCGCCGACGAGCGCCGCGCGCCGTGGACGTGGAATACGCAACACGCAAAAGAGGATCAAAAAAGACCAAAGAGTGAGCTGTGCGCCGCCCAGGCACGGGCCCAGGCAGAGCCAGCAGCTCGGTGAACGGCCGCGCTGTGCGTGGCCTGCCGGGGCACAAGGGCATCCCGAGAGAGGACGAGGGCGGCGGCGGCGGGGCGGGGGGCAGTTTTACATCACACGACGTGCGTGCTAATCCGATAGCGCGCGCATGTATGTGTACAAACGCGGACGCCACTTTCGCTCTCTCTCGCTCTCTCGCTCTCTCACTCTCTCGCTCTCTCGCTCTCTCGCTCTCCCTTTCACGACCACTCTCCCGCGCGTCCCCCTTCTCTGTCGTCGCCTAGAGTGCCCTATGTGTGCCTTGCTCTTCTTGGCCTGGAGGTTATCTATCAGTGCTTTCTCCACACACCCTCCCCTCCCCCTTCTCTCTGTCCGTCTGTCCGCCCCCCTCCCCTCCCCGATGCTTGGCCCTTGTCTGTGTGTGCGATCGGAGCAGCTCGCCACCAGCGAAAATGCGTTTGGACCTCCTCAGACTCGTCGTGCACCGGGAGAGACGGTCGGCTTGTCTCTGCCTCGTTTTCTGATTGCCTCCAACAGCCGTCCTTGGTCCTTACGGTCACCGTGCCGCTGCGGCCGTCACGGACTGATTGCTTAGATGCCCTGGTCTGGTGTACATCATGCCGCTTCCGGGAAACAAGCAGAGTGATGCGACTGGCGTCGCGTGACACCGTCACACCCCCGCCCCCTCTACCCTTGCACCCCCACCCCTCCTCTACCCTTACACCCCCCTCTCCCTTCTCTATCATTTCCCCTCAAATCCCAGCCAACGTGACGAAAATGTTGCCTTTTGTCTGAAATAATCGATAAGATACCAGGGATGTTGCACCTGCACCTCGGGTCGGGCTCGCTCGTAGTCACCAAGTCATACAGTTGTACGGGGTAGCCGGCCAGCCCCGTTCCCATTGCAAGGGATGGGTATACCAGCCCGCATGCCATGCGGGCGGGCGGGTAGCTTAGGGGCGCGGAGCCGAAGAGGCCATGTCCAAACGATCAGTGTGCAGCGCGCAAAGGTGTAGCCTATGTGGTTCGGCCAAACTGTAGAAATTTACGGGGTGAAACGGCCACCTGACATGCTAGTATACCATAAGAATTTCTTACTCCTAGTACTTTTTTTTCGCTGACTCACGGTCAAATTTGCTCCCGAAAGGTGATATTGCCCTGTTAAAACCATTGCTGTCACGATGTACACGGTAAAAACGATCGTCCTGGTTTCCAGGTAGCCAAGCATCTCGTTGCAAGAAATTCATGGAAACGTTTTGGGCTTTCCAAAACCGTTCAAAACTGCTTGAAAACCAGGACGTCGTTTGTAGCGTGTACTACAAAATATGCACGTGGGACAACACAGAATCATATTTTCTGCGAGACTTTGTCGCCGGGGCACTAACAGCAAAACACAAAAAACAAAAGCCGGATTGGCCACACTTCGTTTGAGTCGGTGTGAGCCGTCTCCAACAAGCAAATTGACACGCGACCGGGCGCGTCCTGTTGCCGGTCCTGCAGTCGGGCTCGGCGCGAGGCGAGAGGGAAGACCGGGGAAGCCCCAGCCGGCGGCTCCAGGAGAGCTTGGAGCGCCGGCCCCGCCAGCCGCTGGGCTGCCCCGAACTCAAGAGGATGTCCACTTCCTTCGAGTACCTCACCGTCGAGGTCGAGGCGAATCTTTCCTTGTTCCTGTTTTTGCGGATCGGGCAGCAGAACGAGATACAGCCGCAGCGCGGTCAAGAACAGCTGATACGCGCGCGCGCCGCCACCGGAGGAAGTGGTGCAGGCCCATGACGTCATCGTCGTTCCCTGAATCTTTGTGTTTACACGCGGTCACACACGCATAGCACACACACACGTACACAAAACAGGTGGGGGTGCCTCCGGGGGGTCTTAATGTGGTCGTTCAACGTCCGGAAGTACAAACACACACGGGCCGCTTGCGTCACGGGCCAGTCCTTCCGAGGGGGTGTTTGTCGGGAAGGTGAACGTCCCCTACTCGAGAACATCCAGGCGGGCACGGCACGGCAGCGCCGGATCCGGCTCGACCCGGCGGCCGCGCCTCGGACCGGATCCACAAGGACTCTTCTCGGAGTCAGCCAGCAGCGTGTGGCTGAGAGGCGCGCCGCCGCCAGTGTTAGGGTAAAAGTATAGGGCTGGCTCGGGAAAGGAATAAGTGACGAGCTGGGGCGGGAGAGGGGCCACGGCGGGCAGGGCGGCGGCGGGGCACCTGTGCGCCTGATCGGTGCCAAGGCCGTGCCGCCGGTGTGGAGCCGGCGGCCCGTGGCCCGCGGCGGAGCCTGGCTGGGAGCTGCGGGACGAGCTGCACGGGGCTGCACGCCCGGCGCGCGCCCGGGGCCAGGAGGGCCGCCGCCGTCGCGTTGGGCGCCTCGTGTGCCTACCGGCGGACACACCCCACACGCCGGTGGTTCATTAAGGCCCCTTGTTGTTCCCCTCACGCCTCGCAAAACGTTATTTTGGCCCCGCTGCAATGAGGCTTGTCATCGTGGGGCCGCACAGACGTGAATGTGCTTATAGCCGCGCACGTACAACTCCCCCCCATCC